CACTCACCTCATAGTTCTAGCCGACCTGTGACAATGAGACTGTCACAGGTCGGCTCAGTAGATCGGAAGGTGAGCGAACATATACCGGCGTTTGCTCACCTCTCGATCCTGTCACGGCTCTCTGCCGTGACAGGGGGAGGGGCTGGACCCCCCTCTCCGCTCTGCCAGCGCTGACTGGCGGAACGGACGGGGAGGGGCGGGTACAGCTGGCTCTGCCTCTAGATAGGCAGAGCCAGCTGTCACTCACGCAGCTGGGCAGATCTCGACATCGATGTCCGGATTCGCTCCGGCTGCGGCGTCTCAGTATACCGCGAGCTCCAGCTCGCGGTATACTGAGCTTAGGGTAACGGGAGGACGCTAGTTTGTGTCCTCCCGTTACCCTAAGGAGAACTATGGGGAAAAGCCCTGACCCCATAGTTCTCCTTTAAGTAAAGGGGAGAAATAAAGAACCACACCAGCTTGACGTACACTTTATGGCCAAAGGTCTGTGGACACCTTAGCATCACGACTACTATATGGACAAATTTACGTGGGCAACTGAGCATCACAACTACTATATAGCCAAAAGTATGTGGACACCTGAGCATCACAACTACTATATGGCCAGAAGTATGTGGATACCGGACCATCACAACTACTATATGGCCAGAAGTATGTGGATACCGGACCATCACAGCTACTATATGGCCAGAAGTATGTGGATACCGGACCATCACAGCTACTATATGGCCAGAGGTATGTGGATACCGGACCATCACAACTACTATATGGCCAGAGGTATGTGGATACCGGACCATCACAACTACTATATGGCCAAAAGTGCATGAAAACCCCATTAAATGGTTGAGTTCAGATCATTCAAACGAAGGGGACTGTTAATACTATAATTACAAAGATATTTTAGATTATTTTGCTCTTCCAAGCTTGTGACAACATTTGGATGAAGACCCTTTTCTGTTCCAGCATGACTGTGCCCCTGTGTACATATCTAGCTCCATAAAGACATGGTTTGATGAGTTTGGTGTGGAGGAACTCGAGTGGCCTTCAGAAGGCCCTGACCTCAACCTTATTGAGCACTTTTGGGATGAATTGTAATGCCAATTGGAACCAGGTCTTCTCATCCAACATCAGTACCCGACCTCACAAATGTTCTTTTGACTGAATGGACACAAATTCCCACACACTCCAAAATCATGTGGAAAGTGGAGGATGTTAGAGCCACAATGGGTGGTAACTCCATATTAATGGCCATGGTTTTGGAATGGGATGTCCATCAAACTCAAACAGGTGTGATAGTCAGGTGTGCACAAACTTTCATCCACATACTGTACTTCACATTTAACGTTATTCTGTCTTTTGCCCATGTGCAGTGTTGAGAGTGTTTCAGAGAAAGCGAAAGGGTTAAACCAGCTGCAGAAATAGAAATGTGACTACACTAAATATTGGAATTGAAGAAAAATGGGCTCATTATGGGACGAGCAGTTCTATTACATGAAGGATAATGTGAGCTCCAGTGTCAGCTCTTTCTATTTATATGCAGAGTCGCTGAAAGGCCTATAGCAAGCAATAGTGAATTTGCACAAAATGATTATTAGCAAGCCAAAGCGATATGACACGTCCGAAACGTGCCCGAAAAATGTCATTTATCTGATGCCACCATCAGATGAGGTCATACGGTGAAGTCTCTCCTAGGAATTCATAAACAATGCTCTGATAGGTGACCAACAATACCCCTGTGCTAGGATGGAGGAGGCTAGGGGACATATACATTGTACCTGTACATTGTTCTTCAGCAGTAGCACTGATAGTTCTCAATGTGGAAACCCAATCACAAAATCTAAGCTTAAATCTTAAATTGTCATTTCAAAGGTCATTATCAACATTTTAAATCTTCAGCTGCCAATAAAAAAATAAAATTTGGTGACCCTACTATGAAGATCCTTGGTCAACCACCTTTCATAGTGTGACACCTTGTCACATGGGCCATTTAAACACACATTATGCAGACATGGTCCATTGTTGTCACCATTATAATACACGTCCAGAGAAATGCCATGCAGCCAACGCTGGAGTGTATATAGGCAGGAAAGAGGTTGCAAATAGGCTGCAGGAGATCAGCAGCACTGAGATGTAACAAAGGATGAAAAATAAGGTGAAAATGTATTTTTGTTTAGAAAAATGAATTTTGTTTATGATTCACAGTGATTTAGCATCAACATCAACCAGGTAAAATCAGTAGTGATTGCTAAGGGCCCGTTTACACTGTTTATCTGTTGTGTTAAGGCATTCCATTCGTCTGGTGAACGCACCAAAAAAGATGCATGTACTACATTCTGTAACAGTGCATTTTAAAGCATGGTAGTGCGTCAGCACGTGTTCTGGTGCCAATAAATGCATATGCGTTGCATGGCACAAAGGCGAGTAGCGCGTTGAAGGCCGTCTCTATAATAAGGCAGTCTGAGAGCTCTCTGCAACCTGTGATGCTCTGTCTGGTGTCCCGGCCAGCTAATTTACGTCACCAGATGACAAGAGCTGAGCAGGATGCTGTGGCTTGCATCTAGGGTTGCCACCTGTCCAGGATTCACCCGGACAGTCCGGGTTTTGAATGCTGTGTCCGGGTTTCATGGCAGCTGAAACCCGGACACATGATGTCAGGCAGACAGGGGCAAGCAAAATGAAGATAGGGGCTACTGGCCCCCCACTGAAAAATTGTCTCAACTGTGATATTTACATATGAATGGGTGGAGCTATTTACATATGAATAAGGCGCGACTCATTCTCCCCCCAAAATTTCCGTGCGTCGCTAGAGTGTTCGGGTTTCGATGGAAGAAAAGGTGGCAACCCTACTTGCATCCCGTCGTGCTCCTGGCAACCAGTGATGTCAATAAGCTGGACAGGCCACTGACAGTGCGGTCCGGCGTCCTCTGTGCCCCCACAAACCCCCGCCGGAACTACATCGCCTCAAGCGGTGACACGCAAAGGGACAACACTGAGCGTGTTACAGCAGCACAATACTATGAACAGGCCCTAAGAGTACCATTTGACTTTCTATGGTTTAAACTACACAGAGAGGCTTGGATGTTTGATTCTATTCCTGTTTTTGTGCGTAAAGTGACAGCTAATACACTAAACTGCATGTGACTATTCATTGACAATCTGATGTGGTGCATGATGGGAAATTTGCCATAGACTAAATTCAGGGAGCACAGTGACCTTAGTCTGTGACAGTACATGGTATGGTCAGGCTGAGGAATATATTTGGATGATGGCATCTTTATATAGATGTGTAAAAGTAACACATATTGTCATTGAGGCAATGCTATGAGGAACTGACGCCATTCTGCAACTACTAGGTGTCACATGACTCCTCACCTTCATGTGTATCTGTCTTATATCATCCGTGTGATGTTTCAGTTCACGTAACTGGTCCTGAAGGGTTAAACGCTGAGAAAATTCCTCTTCATATCTGTAATGACAATAACATTTACTTATAGAAGTTGATCCACAATAATATTATCAGAGTGCCTATATCTTGTTTTGAATTGTATTGTAAATGTAACAGTAATGTCTTCCTTATATTGTAAAGCTCTGCACAAACTGTTGGCGCTATATAAATCCTGTATAATAATCATAATAATCAGCAGGTCTGATTATGTATATGGCTCCCAGACCTGAATGACATTCGGGAGCTCCCGAATGCAATTCAGAAATTCGAAACCCGAATGCATTTCGGGTCTGGGAGCCATATACATATATTACTAAAGCTGAGGCTCCCAGACCCGAATGGCAATCAGGAGCTCCCGAATGCAATTCGGAAGTTGGGATTCCGAATGGCATTCGAGTCCAGAAGATTCAGCTCTAGTATTAATATCTGTGTATGGTTTTCTGTTTTACTCGCAACGAATATTCGTAAACTCATCCGAATCCGAACCGAACCAAATTTTTCCACATCTTACATGTCTACACCGACAAGGCCACACGCAGCTCAGCAGGAACTGGCCAAAATTCACACAATGATGGTCAGCTTTCAGTATAAAACTCTCAAGTTTTTTTTTCAATATTGAATCCAGATCTAGCAAATATATATTGGCCAGAAAAGTATTTCTTTATGTTTTTTTTACCCAAGCACTTGGTCCCCATTCACACCTGAGCATAGAGAGAATGTGCGTTGCGTTTGCGTGTCTTTGTTTTCCAAGTTGAATGTAAAAGATGTCATCAGCACACCGAAGATTGTTTTGGAATCACAAAAATGCTCATTTTATTGAACAAGTTGTCATAATGGATAGTATCCTTACCAGCGATCCCATGTAATGGGAAGGGTGCTCTTAATGACTGCGGATGGCACCGCTGTATGCATAAGATAAATGTGAAAGATGTCACCAGCACACCGAAGATCCTTTTGTAAAATGAGCATTTGGTGATTCCAAAAGGATCTTCGGTGTGCTGGTGACATCTTTCACATTTATCTTATGCATACAGCGGTGCCATCCGCAGTCATTACGAGCACCCTTCCCATTACATGGGATCGCTGGTAAGGAGTGCGACAAGAACCTTTCTACTAATCCTGGTTTCCAAGTTGGCCGCGAGTCCCTATTGATTTCAGTGGGGTCCTGAACATGCGACAAATATAGAAAATGAGTGCATGTATTAAAATCTGCGACCTGCGTTCCACATTTTTATCCGCTGCTTTTGTGAGTGTTTTAATGAGCCCGAATGTGGAGGAAAAACACTTGTTTGCCCCGCCATGTTTGGGGCGGCCGTTTACTTGTAATAGCACAGCACGTGTATTTTGCGTTTTTTTTACGTGTCTCGCAAATACGCTTCAAAGCGTGCATTTTTTGCGCATTTGACGCACGTACACAAATTGTTCAGGTGTGAATGAGAACATACAGTCATCATGTTTCCAGACAGCTCCAACTCTTTCTGCACTACTTCCCTGAACTTCCTGTCCAGTACAAGATCACAAGGGGCAGAGCAGTCTTCAGCAGCCGTTCATCTACTAGCTTGGAAGAAGGAGGGGGGGGGGGGCAGAAGGTAGCCCGCTGGGGAGTTGTTTCCCCTGCTGTGTCTCTGTGTTTGTGGAGACACACACAGCTTTCTCACACACACAAGGGTGACACCATGGAACACCGCAAGGGAATGGAGCCACCCTAAAACAGGATCCTCATGGGACCAGCTGATTCTGCAGGAAACTAAGAAGCAGCATCCATTGTAAGTGATTTAATCAGCATGTCAGCCCTCCTCATATAATACTGTCACTTGTCACACAGGACTTGGCGGAGTTTCTCAGCGAGTTTATTTTGCTGATGCTTGTTTGCACCATTCTGCATTACTGCTTTTGGGGAATCTAGGTCATTGTTGTTGAACAATTGTGTAGTATTATCTGTGCGTGTGAAGTCCTACACACGTGGGCTTCAAGAATAACACTGAACTGTGCGGCTACAGAACACAGCTAAACATTTGCAAATTCCTGAAATGCTGAGCGTCTTTCATGAACAGTCCTCTTCTTCATCCTGAGAAGCCACCAAGACGTACAGCGCCCGTCCTTCAATCTGTGCAAGTGGCCTATGGCGGCAATACACATAATATCCATTCAATTACAGATTCAATTTGTATCAAACAATCATGTGCTTGAAAGCTATTGATCCTGAAATGTATTCTGTAATCCATGCTCTAGTTAAAGGATCGGTCCACCTTAAAGTGATATTTAGAGGTGGAGTCTGGTGGGTTGCTGAATCAGCCCCTGATTTCTCATATGTCCTGAAATCTCCCACAGAGAGGTCTCCCTCCCTTAATTCCAGCTTTGTTGCTGTCCGCATGGGAGTTTTGGGTGTTTCGATCCGCTTTTGGGTGTTCCTGCTACTCCTATTACTCCTATCTCATAATGGGCACAGCAGGTGTGCACACCTGAGAACTCAGAGCAGGGATGGTGGGAGCATGTCATAATTGGCACAGCAGGGGTGCACACCTGGAAACTCAGCACTGGGATGGTGGGAGCACCTCATAATAGGCACAGCAGGTGAGCAGACCCTGGAATAGGAGTTTTGGGCATTCCCATCTGCTTTTGTGTGTTTCTGCTATTCCAATTGCATGCTCATAATGGGTACAGCAGGGATGCAGACCCAGGAACTTAGCACAGGGATGGTGGAAGCCCCTCATAATGAGCATAACAGGTGTGCAGACCTGGGAACTCAGCAAAGAGATAGTGGAAGCCCCTTATAATGGGCACAGCAGGTGTGCAGACCCAGGAACTCAGGTCCGGAATGGTGGGATCCCATTATAATGGGCACAGCAGGTGTGCAGACCCAGGAACTCAGCACAGGGATGGTGGAAGCTCCTCATAATGGGCACAGCAGGTGTGCAGACCCAGGAACTCAGCACAGGGATGGTGGGAGCTCCTCATAATGGGCACAGCAGGTGTGCAGACCCGGGAACTCAGCACAGGGATCTCACCAATAGAGATATATAAGGTACTGTCAGGTGGTTCAACTCTTCAGCATGTACCATAAACTTAAATATCCGTTTTGGGTGCAGTGACCCTTTAAGGCAGAATACTAAACAAATATTTAGATTAGAAAAGCTCAAAGCCATTTATGCATTCATTAGAAATATGTAATGTTATTTTAAAATACTGCTGATAAAAATATCTGAAATCTTTCTTTATATTGACTTTTCACAGTCCCATGTATAACAGAGATAGAAAGTATGGGAGGATTAGCATAATGCAAAGTATCCTACTGCATTTTAGAATACTAACATGTTTCAGGTATTAAGACATAGAAGAGAAGGTGTCCAGGCAGCTTTCAGTATAGGAAGAGAGGACAAGAAGAGCAGAAATCTCCAAATACTGAACATCGGTTCCCTCCTAATAGCAGTTCTGTCTGGCAAGTGATGTGAATCACAAGACTAAAAGGACAGAACTTTAAATTATTTGAAAAGTAATACATTTTGTTTAGGTGTATATGCCTGCTGTGTATTTTGCTGTTTGGCCGGACATCTGCTTGATTCTCATTGTATCTTCTGGCAGTATGTTCAGTACTTCACTTGCCATATAAATAAACAGACAGACCAGAGATTAATCTACATATGGGGGAGATATAGTGGGGAGGGGGATTCATTTTACTGAGATTTGTTTATTTGGTACAATTTGGGGCCAAAACTGGGTCACTTGTGAAGGAGACCGGTTAATGTGACAGTTCCCAGATTGCATTCCTTATCTTGGACAATGGCTCTTGTAGTGGGTGGCGGGTTTATCGCCTGTCACCTTCATCTCCTGGCCCACACACAGATAACAGCTTGTGCACCAAAGCTGTTTCTGCTCCTGTCAATGGCTATAACTGGCCATTGTAGATGTCAGATGTAGATGTAAACCCTATGAACTGCATTTGTTAAAGCACTATGTGTCCAAAAAAAAAATCGCCATTTTCTTAAATTGAAAAAAAAGGTTTTTAAATTTTTTTCATCCTTTGTTACAATTCTGATCTCCTGTAGTCTTTTTTCAGCCACTATCGGTCCAGCGATGGCCGCATGGAATTTCTTAGGGTGGATTTCCTGATGGTGACAACAGTGGACCATGCCTGCAGAATGTGTGTCGACACGGCCACTTGTAGTCTCCATCGGAAGCCAGCGTGACAATGCAGGAGCACAAATAGGACATCGGGATAGAGCGTTGCCTTCCTATTATAGCAAGTGCCTGAACAAGGGTTGTCATGGCAGAATCACTAGGTATTACTATAATTAAAGCTTCAGATTTAAAAAGACTGAACAGGGCTTGACTAGAGATTTTAGAGATTGGGATGCCATTCTGAGACATATACAATATCTTATGGAAAATATATCCTAAGGTATCTCGTTCTTTGTGTGCCCTGTTGCCGTAGTCTTGGCCAGATAGGTGATATAGGCATCTTACTTGTTCTGGGCCATGAGGATATTTCCTTGCAGCTCTCTCAACTCTTGCTTGGCCAGGTCCAGCTGTACGGATGGAGCTATTGCAGACCCTTTTAGCGACTGGATATCGGACTCCTGCGTTGCCAAGATCAGATGCAAGGCTCGAATATCTTCATCTTTCTTCAGAATGTCTCTGCTCATCTCCAAAAGTCTGCAAAGGAAGAGGCAGTTTAAAATCAGTAACTGTATACAAGCAAGCAATAAAGCAATTATTAATCAGTTTTCACTATCAGTTTGATTGATTTTGCAGGATCGAATAGAAAAATAAAGGCAAATGTCAGGCTTTATGTCACATTTGATCGATTCAGAAGCTAAAACATTCATTTTTATTTATAAAATAAACCGTTGATATTACGGAAGACTGGGTGGATGTGGGAGAATTTGCCTTTTTTGCTAATTGATTGATCATTTTAGACTTTTCAATAAAAATGAATTGAACAAATTAAATTGAATAAATTTGAATTGATTAAAACATAAAAACTGATGCGTGCACTGCCCACTATACACGTTGCTATTTATAAGCGATTTTAAAATGAGTGAACTCAAACCATGAAATGATCACATGGATACTCCCCATGCCAATGACTGATTTTCAATATCAATCTCAAATAAATACTGAGACTTAACTTTCTTTAAGTAGAGTACCTACTTAAGAAATACAAAAAGTATCCAGCAAAGATTCTGCATAGTCGATAAGCAATGATTGATATATTTCCAGACCTACCAAATGACAGGTCAAAAACAATCATTATTTTCTTCATTGTTCGGTACTCTGCATTTCTCAACCTATTTCTCTCTCTCTCGCTCTCTCTCTCTCTCTCTCTCTCTCTCTCTCTCTCTCATACACAATACATAGTACTGCAGTCATGGGGGTTTGTGTTTGTCATATGGAACATTTTATCCCAAATGTTCTTCATATTATGACCTTTTTTATTTATTAGTTCCCCTTCCATGGTTCCATGTGATTGCCAACAGGAAGTCACCTGCATCCTGTTTGAGAACATCATATCATTTCCTTTCCCTTCTCCTGACGCTTTTATGAATTTTGTAATGGCAACAATGCTCTAAAATACATCAACTTCTAATTCAGAGAAGGACCCTCATGTAATAAAAGAACAGGTCATCTTTGTAAATGGTCATTCCGTTCAAAAGTGATATTTTAGTTTCAGATGACACCTGGTAAGTTGAGTATACATATAACAATAAATATCTGATCACATATTTAATAGCTGCAAATGATACTGGAAAATAATGTTTGGCCCAGCAAGTGCTGGTTGATAACAATTAGATTTCCCACCAGGGCCGATTGCACCTTTTCGGTTAAAACTATGATTTTTGTATTATCTTTTACTTTAGTCTCTCATAATTGCACTGATTCATTGTATAGTTCCGTGTAGTCAGCATAATTTTTAACTTTTGGATCATGCACACTGGCCTTCTGCATATGTTTCTTGATAGACAGATTTGTTCGCGTGTGATTGAAGCACGCTTTAAGCACAGAGCACTCACCTAATAAAATATTTATCGCTGAAATATATTCTGTAATCTATGTACTAGTTAAAAGATCAGTTCATTGAAAGTTTTAGGTGTAGATGAAGCTTGGTGTGCTGATTCAGCACCTGCTGGAACAGTGAGAACCTCCTCCCATAATTCCCTGCCTCTGTTCCTGTCTACCTGGGAGTGTTGGGTGTCCCCATACACCATTGTATGTTCCAGGTCTTCCTGTTACATTTTCCATAATATAAAATATAAAATCTAGCATTGGTAAGGGAATATCTGTAAAAAATAAGTCAAAGTAACTGGACTTGCTGTATTTTTCTTGAAGACCTTTCACTGGCCATCCAACCAGCTTTCTCAATTCAGAATGACTTGTACAAAAATTATCTGGGAATAAATATGGTGAATGTTGCTCCAATCCACATAATCTGTTAATCTGCAATCCATTGTAACACAACAATTGCACTTTATTGTTCATTAAATGTATTAATCTATTAGACTGTTTAAAGACATTACAAACTCATCCTGACATCTCAGCAGTCAATCAAAAAAAAAGTGAACACATTTGTCAGACATACAGCTAGCCTTGAGGGCAGGGGTGGGCAACTTCGGCCATCCATCTGTGCTTTAACTACAAATCCCAACATGCCTCTGCCTCTGGGAGTCATGCCTGTAACTGTCAGTCTTGCAATGCCTCATGGGACTTGTAGGTCCACAACAGCTGGAGTGCCGGAATTTCCCAGGCCTGTTCTAGGCGGAGCATTTACAAATGTGCAAAGAAAATACCATAAGAAATATTTTAGAACAGTAAGTGTGTATAAATGTGAAAGTTCAATCAAGAAATCCATTCAAAAATGTACGATAATTTTTGAACACCTATGAAATGTAGTGCCATGAGCCCCGAGCTCCCTGTAGGCATGTCCTGGAGTAGAAGTATACAAGGAACACAGGTAACAAACTCTACCTGCTTTGGTAGTCTGCAGCCATCAAATTGCTCTGCCGACCACTGAGCCCGTCTCTGTTTCCCTCCTGATAGCTCTGCTCCAGCTTCTCCCGAAGTTCTCCGATCTCCTTCTCATATAGATTGCGAATGGTGATCAGCTCTTCCTGAAGATGTTGAATTGTAGATGTGTCCTCACCCTGTTAGTCAGAAATATTAGAAATGATAAAGGGTACCTGTCACCTTCATTCACTGGACTGCTGCTATGTTGCTGAAGTAGAGTCTGATCGAAGTTTAAAGCCTTCCCCTCTCCACTAACAGCATTTTGGAATTTAAAATTGGGGTTCCTATTGGGCAGATTTTCCTCACTTTCCATTCTGTTGGACCCCAGAATGGTCAAAAAGTGTTGTGTCCTATTGAAGATGATTATCTTTACTTTCTGTGCCAGAGAAACAACAGGAAGGGAGAGGTAATCTCTCTAAAGTGAGGGAAATCCCCTATTAGGCAATTCTCACTAGAACAATTTCCATTAGATGATTACACCTCACCTACTGTTCTGATAACAACTGTTAAATGCGGCATCCCCCATCACTTTCTGTCCCCATGACAGTGGCCATCAGGTTAAGTAAAAAGTGTGGGAGATGCAGACATCAATAAAAACCTGGTAAAGGAATAAAGTGGTTGGGCGTTGGATGAGTATTTCAATTCAGTATTTGAATTGCCTATTGCTGGGTCCAGACAACCCTCTGGTAGACCATGGTCCTATACTAGACTCATGGGATAAAGTCTAGGGCAGAAAAAGGAAGATATTTTGGATTGAGTATACACCAGGGTTATTAGTTGCAGAGTTCTAAAATTTCTGTAACATATTTCAAAAGGTTCAGAAATCCCCCTTCATCGGGGCTACCAACACAATGGAAAAAGGCAATCGGTAAGCACAATTAATATTTGTAGTATACACAATACCAATTGCCTTGCTTGTAGCCCTGTTAAAGGGAGCTTTCTAAAGTTCTGAAACATGTGGTTATTATTTTAGAACCCTGTGACTAATAAACCTGGTCTGGACTATCAAACACTTTGTGGAGCTCTCATCCCTTTTCTACTTTTAGGAATAAAAACCTAGCAGGTGATCCAATTCTTCAGTCTTTCCTTATGGAAAAGGAAGCTTTCCATGGTGTCGTGTTTTTAAACTCATTGATCCGATTATTTATAATAAGTTCATAATTGGTACATCGGGGGGGAAAAAGAACCCAAAAACTATGTATATCCTTTACAGCTCTTTACGGCGAAGAATTCTCAAAACTAGAGAAATAACAATCATGGTTTATAGTCGCTATAAAAAAGAAATCGACAGTCGTGTCCTCCAAAGCTTCACATGAATGGCACCTGTGGGGTTTTCTGTGCTGCTTGTAAAATTTAGAAACGGCTCCGTCCTTGCTGGAGGAAGTGGAGTTATTTGTGTGTCAGTTCAGATTTCCGCTTATGGTTTTTTGTTACAGAAGGAAAAGTGTAAAGCTGTAACATTATATCTTTTTTAGAATCTGAGAATTGTACAATATTGACTGAAACAGGAAATTCAACGGAAGTCAGTTGATTGATTTATATAATTTACATATAAATTCAGCCTTTAACTGTTATGGACCGTAAATTATTTACATATCCTTAACAAGCAGCAAATGAGCTTTAAAACAAGGCGTCACCTCTGTAACGACAGGTACTGTGGAGCAATTCATCCTCAAAGATCACAACAGAGACTCTGAGACCCCCATTCACACTGAGTTACAACAAAATAAGCGCTTTTTCAGCGCTGATTTGAGCTAATCGACTTTGAGCAACATTGAGCTACATTGAGCTACAGTGCACATTTTGTCGCGCTTCTTTTGGCAGTCTACCAAAGTCTATTGTGGCCAAATCGCTCGAAATCCACCAAAAAATAGCTCATGTTTGAGCGGCAAGCTTCAGCTACAAGCTACAGGCGACATTGAGCTGCAAGATGTGAACATCTCCATTGAATTGCTTTGGAAGAGCTACATTGAGCTTCATATTTGATCAATTTTTGAGTGGAAATGGCGCTACAAAACGCTCAGTGTGAATGGGGTCTAAAGTCAGGTTGCAGTCTGTTTCTGGACAGCTTAAAGCACCTGGAGTTTGTTTACAATTGAAGGTTGGCAGACCACCAAGTCCAAGGAAGCAAAGGGGAGATAAGCTGCAGTTTCAGTGCTTCTGTTGAGAAGTTTGAAGGTTAAAAAGTATGTAAAGGTAATAGGTTAAATAGAATGGGGAGGGATTAAACCCATCTGTCAGGTTTTTGTCTCCGCTGGGAGAGTCACCCTCTATTTGTCCTGGTGACCATTATCACAGAGACAGAAAGTGATGGAAAAGCCCAAATCTTTTGAGTTTTGCTTTAGAGTAGGAGGAGAGATTAATCATCTATTGAGGACCAATATTCCTGTGGCAACTGTCTTATACTGACTATTCACTGTGGAGATTCCAAACAGTGTACTCGTACGGTGAGTGACACTATTTGGTCGCAGTTACTTTTCGGCTGAGATTTGTTAGGATGGCTGAGATTTGTTTGATAGCAAAATCAACTTTTGTCAAACGGGGGGTCCCAATGCTTGAATTTCGGCTGAACCAGCAGGACTCGTGGTTCTTTACTGCCTAGGACAAACCTGAACTTACTTTAGTAAGTTTTGAGTCACTTTTCTTTTACTTATAGAATTATAAATTTTTAAAGAGATGTTTTATGTTGACATGAAAAAAGGATTCCAGGAGCAATACGGGTAAGCTAAAGAGAGAGCAGCTGCCGCTTGTTAAATGGCAAAACAGGGAGCGAAGGCGATGTAAGTATGATCATATGTATTAGACATGTGCGATTCGTTTCGTTCCGAATCAAAATTCATACAAATTTTAGGAAATTCGGACACATCCGAATTTCCGAATCCCTTTGCATCTGAATGCGTCCGAATTTGAATTTCCGTTTGCGAATTTCAGATCCCGTCCGAATTTCGTTCAAAAACTAAATTGAATCAGACATGTGACTTTTCTGGCCAACCAGATGTGTTTTTCGGTTTAATGCATCTGAATGGGTCTGAATCCGAATTTTCGTTTTGCATTCGGGAGCTCCCGAATGTCTTTTGGGTCTGGGAGCCTCAGCCTTGGTTTTATGTATATATGGGTCATAATGATGTTATGAATATTCGTTTGTATTATAGAATACTACTTACAGTATACATACATAATACTAAAACTGATTCGCCAAGACCCGAATGGAGTCCGAATTTCCGAATAGCATTCAGGAGCTCCCGAATGCCATTTGGGTCTGGAAGCCTCAGCTTTACTATGGCTCCCAGGCCCGTATTGCTTTCTGGAGCTCCCGAATGGTATTCGGAAATTCCGGCTCCCGAATGCCTTTCGGGTCCAGGAGCTTCAGCTTTAGTATTAATATCTGTATATGGTTTTCCGTGGTATTCGCAATATTCGTAAACTCATGCGAAACTAACAAAACTTCGGATTTCGTCCGAATCCCAAATCCCAAAATAACTGAATATCCAAGCGGAATTTTTACGCCGCTTACATGTAATATGTGCTAATATGTATAAGTACAGTGTATGTTGCTTTGACTTGAAGCACAGGTTCACTTTAAAGGGACTTGTAACCAAAGATGTACCTGCAAAGAAAGCATATACATATCTCTCCAGCTGCCTGTGCCACCAAATGCTGCACTGATGAAAAGGAATATCTTTATAAAGTCTATTCAGAAACCTACACTTCCTGGAGTGTCAATCTCCTGGTCCCACCCACTGCTCTTAGTGGTTCCTCCTGCCACCCTCTACATCACTACAGGACACAGTGGTGTCAAGGGGGTTGACAGGAGAAACCACTGAGTGCAGCAGGGGTCCAGGAGGTGGACACTCTCAGAAGCGTCAGTTTCTGAACTACCTTTAAAGTACAACTAAAGCCTAATCTTTTCGTTTTAGTTTCGATAGAATGGAGAGGGATTAGAACACCTGTCAGGTTTTTATTGCTGTCTGTGTTCCCATTAGGGAGAGTCACCCTCACTACTTGTCCTGGTGACCACTATCACTGAAAGTGAAAGAAAATCCAAAATTTTGGGTTGTCACCAGAACAGGAATAGGTGGGAACTCTTCCAATAAGGACACTAGTTCTGGTGACCCTGCTGTCCACCAGGGATTTCCCTCTCTTTGGAGGAATTAACTCTCACTTCCTTTTGTTGCTATCAGACAGGAAGTGAAGGAAAACCTCCCCAATGGGACACAGATGGCAGAATAAAGGGTATCAGGGGTTTGAACCCTCCCTTACTCTATTGGAAACAAAATAAAAAGTTTTAATTTAAATAGCAGAACGCTTCTCGGCCTTTTGGCTAAGATCAAGTGTAGTATCTTTTCTTATCAGTTTTCAGAGAAGAACAACTCCAACTCCGGCAAGGATGGATGCTTAGTATTCTCTGATGTAATAGGTGGGTGCCGGAGGGGTTTCCTTTTCTTCCTGGGTTGATTCTGGTACGATTATGCTGGGATTGTCCCCAGTTGTAAACAGGAAATCTACTAATGCCTTCTGGTATGGATTGGGCTGCAATTGTCTGGCTTGAGGGTTTCTGGGAGCGCAGAAGCCAGCGGTACTGTGCCCCCTGGGAGTGGCATCTCAGGGTGTGCCAGATAATCACTGGGTTTGAGACCCCACTTGATTCACCAGCACTAGGTCACGGCACTCAAAGCTATATTCTGCACCACGCCTCTTGGGCAGGCCTTCTGGCTAGTCCAGGGCAATTTTTATACTTTGGCCTGAACGGCCTGCCAGGTTTGTGCACTGGCACTTATTTATTTTAAGCACTGTTTTTATGCACGGATGCATTTTGACTTCACAGAATGACGGAGGGTGCAGGTACCTTTGGGGCCTGTTCCTGAAGTTGTGTAGGAGGTTCTGTGGCCTCCTTCCTTTGGGGGAGCCCCCAACCTAGTACTCGGCGGACCTGTTTCGGCAGGTCCCAGAGGAGCGGGGTCCGCCGGCCTTCGGGTAGGTGGACCTAAGTCATTCTTCTCCCTGTCAGGAGCCTTGGGCCCCGGGGAATCAGGAAATCATGGCCCTTCTTCATCAGAGGAGGACCAATGGCACCCTCGTGCACTTTTTTTTTGGTGTGTTGTTATTTCACGGTTCACTTTTCTTGTTCACAGGGGAT